TGTCATTTTCACCCTCAGATATGATTTAATCATATTAAGAATTCCACATATCAGATCTCTTGAGAACAATGACAGGACAACAGGTAGCAAAATTTGGTTAACTAAAAGATTCACATGCATTTTTTCTCAATTCAAGAACCATCACAGCAGCTCAAAAGTTTGGACTTATGGAATTATTCTACCTGCTTTACTCCAAAGTTTAATAAAGAGTTGCATAGCTATTTCCAATAGAGAGTCCTTAAGAATGCATGTGGAGTTGAAAAAGACTGATCTCATAGAAGATCAGAGTAGAACTGCAGTTACCAGTAGCTCTGGTGGCTAAAGGGTAGTGGGGTAAGAGGAGATATTTTGATATCATAGTTTGATAAGAAGGGAGGACTCCAAAATAGGCAAGTATATAGAGATCAAAATAGATAAATGATAGCCTGGGTCCAGGGGTGGGAAGGAGGAGGGGGCGGGTTGGGAGTGACTACCAAAGGTTATGGATGTTCTTTCTTGGGCAATAAATACATTTTAAAATTGACAGTGATAAGCTGAGTATAGTGGTGCACACCTATAGTCTTAGTGGCTGGGGAGGCTGAGGCAGAAGGATCCTGAATTCAAAGCCAGCCTCAGCAACTGAACAAGGACCTCAGCAACTTAGCAAAGATCTCAGCATCTTAGGGAGACTCTGTCTCAAGATAAAAATCAAACAACGGTCTGGGAATGTAGCTCAATGGTTAAGTGTCTGTGGGTTCAATCCCTGGTACCAAAAATAAATAAATAAATAATGACTAAATAAAAATTAAAAATAAAATAAAATTGGCTGTGGTGATGGTTGCATGACTGTGAACATACTAAAAACCATTGTATTATATTGTACACTTTATTCATTCATGTGCGGTGCTGGGAATTAAACTCAGGGCCTTATATGTACTAGGCAAGTACTCTACCACAGGGCCCCCTGTGGTACACTTGCTATAAGTGAATTTTATGACAAATGAATTATAGTTCAATAAAGCTTTTTCTTTTTAAATAAAAGAACTCACAGCCTATTTCACCTCTCAGATAAGGTTTGCATTCCTTTACACACTTTCTACAGGGATAATAACAATATTTTTTCCCTTGCAGATTAAATGTCAGCATCTTAGTTTTATCTACATCTGTCATCTCTCCAAAATTTACCCCTCTGACCCATCTGTGGCTGGAAGGTATCTGCTGTGGGGAAACCTCTATAGTCTCCTTCTCAGTTTTTGTACGATTTGTGTATTCTGTCTTTAAAAATACAACCATTGAAAAATCTATATCTGACCTCATTGTTTCCCCAGCCATTGTCTCATATCCCCAGTTCCTTTTTTATTTTAAACAAAACTTTTCTAATCTATTCCTGCACCACCTCAAGAAAATTATCCTAATTAGCCTTATCCTTTAGCATAACAGATAGACTTTCATCTATAATCATTGTATTCTTATCTGCAGTTTTACTCCCATGATTTTAGTTTTCCGCCATCAAAATTAAATGGAATCTTATTAAGGAAGTTGGGGCCTAATCCCACATGATGGAGATTTGGACCTATTTTTTTCTTCTATTAGATGCAGCGTCTCTGGTTTTATTCCTAGGTCCTTTATCCATTTTGAGTTTTGTGCATGGTGAGAGAAAGGGGTTTAATTTCACTGTGTTGCATATGGATTTCCAGTTTTCCCAGCACCATTTGTTGAAGAGGCTATCTTTTCTCCAATGCATGTTCCTGGAAACTTTGTCTAATATAAGATAGTTGTAGTTTTGTGGGTTAATCTCTGTGTCCTCTATTCTGTACCTTTGGTCTACCAGTCTGTTTTGGTGCCAATACCATGCTGTTTTGTTACTATTGCTCTGTGGTATAGTTTAAGGTCTGGTATAGCAATGTCATCTGCTTCACTCTTCCTGGTAAGGATTGCTTTAGCTATTCTGGGTCTCTTATTTTTCCAGATGAATTTCATGATTGCTTTTTTCTATTTTTATGAGAAATGTCATTAGGATCTTCATCAGAATTGCATTAAATCTATATAGTGCTTTTGGTAGTATGGTCACTTTGATAATATTAATTCTACCTATCCAAGAGCAAGGTAGATCTTTTCATCTCCTAAGATCTTCTTTGATTTATTTCTTTAGGGTTCTGTAATTTTCATTATATACACAGCCACATCAATTTTTTTTTTGAGAGAGAGAGAGAGAGAGAGAGAGAGAGAATTTTTTAATATTTATTTTTCAGTTTTCGGTAGACACAACATCTTTATATTATGTGGAGCTGAGGATCGAATCCAGAGCCCCGCACATGCCAGGCAAGCACATTACTGCTTGAGCCATCTCCAGCGCCACATCAATGTTTATAGCAGCATAATTCACAATAGCTAAACTGTGGAACCAATCTAAGAAGCCTTTCAATAGATGAATGGATTAAAAAAATGTGGCATAATTACACAATGGAATATTACAATAAAAGAGAATAAAATCATGGTGTTTTCAGGTAAATGGATGGAGTTGGAAAAGATAATGCTAAGTGAAGTTAGCCAAAAAACCAAATGCCGAATGTTTTCTCTGATATAAGGAGGCTGATTCATAGTGGGGTAAGGAGGGGGAGTGTGAGAGGGATAGATGAACTCTAGATAGGGCAGAGGGGTGGGAGGGGAAGGGAGGGGGTATGGGGTTAGAAATGAGGTGGAATGTGATGGACATCATTATCCAAAGTACATGTATAAAGACACAATTTGGTGTGAATATATTTTGTATACAACCAGAGATATGTGTAATAAGAATTATAATGCATTTCACTGTCATATATAAATAAAAAATTAATTTTTTAAAAAAGATTAAATGGAAAATCTAGAAATAAACAATTCATAAGTTTTGCATTGCATACCATTCTGCATAATGTGAAATCTTGTTCCATCACTCTCCATCCCTGCTTAGAACATGAATCATCCTTTTGCTTAGTATATCTATACTATATACTCCATCCACCTGCCAGTCACTCAGTAGTTATCTCAGTTATCAAATAAATTGTCAAATAACCTTTAATTTACTTATTAATGGCCTTAAAGTGCAAGAGTAATGATTATGGTAATTTGGATATGCCAAAGAGACGCTGTAATACAGTGCTTCCTTTGAATGAAAGGTAAAATTTTATCATAAGTATGTGTATATAAGAAAAACAGTGTATACATAGGGTTTGGTGCTATCTGAATTTTCAGGCACCCAAGAGGGGGTCTTGGAACATATCTCTCATAAATAAGCGGGGAATACTGTGTTTACTTTTCCCTCTAATCTTATGTGAGTTTGAGGTGCCTCTTGCTAGCCCAGCTGTGCATTAGAGTTGCTCAGGATAGGAGTGATACTGCTTCTTGTTGCCCTAGTGTTTCTAGTATTGTGCTAGGTACACAGTAAATAGGTCAAACTTTAGATTGACAATTCCTGTGGGCAGACACACGGTGTTTAAACTCATCACTGTGCACCTTGCATCTAGTACCTAGCACAGTGACGGGCTTGTGGGACACTCCTGCTGAATCAATGAATGAGCAAAAATAACGGTTACGTGTGCAAGCACATACAAAGAGGTGACGAGAGCACATAGCTGTGTGATGAACTTTGAGTTCTAAATATGTACATGATGCCAAAACAATCATTCTATTTCATCAAAACTCAGCTAAGTAAATAAAGCAGCATTGGATTATAATCCAAAGGATAAAATAAATATCCATGAACCCATACTGATATAAGCAAATGATTGAATAAATAAATGAGATAGAGACAAATCTTTTCTGCAGAAAATTTCAAATGATTTGTGTAGATATTCTTCCCTCAAGGAGGAGAAGTATAATTCCCCATCCTCTACATGTGGGCTGTAGATAGTACAGTGATTTTCCTCCAAAAATACAGTATGAAAAGAGGAAAATAGAATAACTTTTCTTCTGAGTGAATGTATTTGTAGCATAAATTCTTAAAACAGAACTTTGGGGCAAAGGGTATGTGCATTTATAATTTTAATAGTGCTGATTTTCCCCAAGAAATTGAAACCAACGTATATTTCCATCAGCTTTTTATACATTACTATCTGCTATACCTTTTCCATTACCACCAAAATATATTATCCTTTTTAAAAAAATAAACAGTATGGGAGTTGGAAAATGGAAACTCAGTATAGTTTAGTTTGCATTTTAATTATAATGAGGGAGGTTGATCTCATCTATTAAATGTCTGTTTTGTTACAGTTTGGATTGGAAATATCCTCCAGAGGTCCCTGTCTTAAAGGCTTGGTCACCAGCAGTGCTGCCTTTGGGAAGTGGTGGAACCAATAGCGGGTGGGGCCTAGAGGGAGGAAGTTAGGTCATTAGAATCATGCACTTGATATTGGGGCCCTGACCCTTTCCTCTTCTTCTCTACTTTCTGGATGCCATGAGCCTGCCATCTTGTTCCATCACACGCTCCCTGCCATGATGCTCTGCTCTGCCACAGGCCCAAAGGCAATGAGGCCAAGTAATCATAGACCAAAAACCATGGAAACTATGAGTCAAAATGAAGTTTTCCTTTTTTTCAAATTGGTTTACATCAGAGGTTTGTTACGGTGATGAAAAGCTGACCAAAGTAATCATAATTTTCCCAATTTGCGATTGGGCAATTGGTATTTTTCTTATTGACCTGTATGACCTATTTAGTAATTAGGTATAATATCCCTTTGACTATGTATGAATTACAAGTACTTTTCCCATTTGTTGTCTTATGAAGTCTACTTAACATGGAATTTGAATTTATTTTCTACTGACCCTATCTTGGATCCACATATGTACTTTGATTTTTAGAGGAAAAGTAGTTGGTAATCTATACTATTTCATTCCCTAGAATGACTTGGGGGACAACAGTATATTGAGACATATAAATGTAGGGTGCTCTGGAAGTATAGCTTAGTGGTAGAGCACGTTCTTAACATGTACAAGGCCTTACATTCAATCTTCAGAACTGCAATATGTGTGTGTGTGTGTGTGTGTGTGTGTGTGTGTGTGTGCGCGCGCATGCGCATGCATCCCTTGTTTTGATTCTTTTGGTAATGAATATGTAGGATTTTTTTCCCCTCACTTTTGTTGAAGTGGTATGGAACACCTGAAATCTTATCTATCAGTTATACAAACAGAACAACAATGATAAGTTTTACTGTTTACATAAACCTACATTATTATTCTGGCAAGATCCAAAGTTTGTGTTTGGTTTCCTAAAGAACCTTAGGGCAAACAAAAAGTCACAGATATCTCATGAATACAGTTTTCATACAATTTTCTGATCTAAAAGGTTAAAAAACAAGTAAGCTTGTGTTAGGATTTAATAACCAAACAAATAAATAAATAAATAAAACATATAGTTTTAGACTTAGAAGATTTGATTTAGAAATTTTGAACTTTACAATGGTACTAAAGCAAGATGTCCACAGTACAAATCGTGCAATGAATTTTGAATTGGGATCTTTCCCCAGGCTATTGAGAAGCCGTTCAATCTTTTCGTGCAGTACTGGGCAGAAGCTGCAAGCCACGTTCATCGTTTTCAGTCAGCCCTGCAACCAAGAGGTGAAACCAGACATGAGAGGGTGCGTGTGCCGCTGAGCTAGGATGCTCGGTAGTTTAGACACATCAATGCATTTTTGTTATATGATATTTTCAACTTACGATGGGTTTATCAGATGTAACCCCATGATAAGTTGAGGAGCTTCTTGTATGGCCATTTCTGGGATCAAAGAAATGCTTGGATGCTGGCTGACATTTCTTGGTCCATCTCCATCAGCTTTGCTCTCTGATATTTCTTAGTAGGCAGTGTCCGGGCTGTGCCTCCACAACAGAGCTTTTGCAAACATGTCATTTAACAGCAACACCCCCTGGAGCTTGACACCAAAAAAACGGAAAGCCATGGAGAGGCTGCTTGGTCACAGCAGGGTATCTCACCTGTCCTCCCACTGTCTACCTGGATCTAGGAGCCCCAGGGGAAACCCACACGACATTAACCTTGGAGCCTTAATAGGTCAGCACTCTGTCCCCTTGGAGAACAGGATGCAGGGTTAACATTTTGAAAGTGGTTTTCTGTTGCTAAAAAATGTGTGGTTTATCACAACCTGAAAAAAAAAAATTCTTCAATGATTGGGATTATCCCCTTCCTCCTTTCCTGTGTGCCTTCAATTAGCTGAATGAAAGCAAACCTATGGCTTTAGAACCCAAAATAGCTGGAGAAAAGTGACGCAGATTTCAGCGAGATGAAAGAGTGGAACCCAGAAGCCTAATTAAAAGCAACTGAGAAACTAGTATTCGATCCAGAGTTTACTCACCTGAAAAAATAAACCAAGAGCTCCGGAGAGGCTTTGCTGGAGGGTTGTGGGAGAGGGGCTGAGACGTTTGTGCAGGTCACAGGAAGGCCCGGCTTGGAGGACACAGAGCCTCACTATTCCTTCCCTCTTGGAGTCAGGGGAAGGTCAGCCAGAGAGCTGAGGCCAGCCCCACACAGGGACGGCATGACAGTAGCCAGCCAGTCAGTAAAAGAAGGCTCTCTCCCTAAGGTGGCAAGGGACATCTGTCTATCCCCAAATGCTCTGCCTTTTTAAAGGTATTGATTAGTTAAACGTCACCCCTCCCCCACTTTCTAGGCTTCTGTTTCAACTCACATCCTGGCTCCTTGTACCCCCCACATCACCTCTTTTACATTCAGAGCACTTTCCTGCATTCAGCGTATGGATTGTTTTTGATGGCAGGAGCTATCAAGGGCTTACTGAAAGAATTAGCCTCCTTTACCAAAAGGAAAATTCTCTTGGTTTTGAGATAAATCAAGGCCCAAGGTCAGTTAAGAGAGGAAAGAAATAAATGAGTCCCTCTCATAGACTGCATATTTTTAACCTACAAATCAGCTCTCCAAATGGAATTCTGGCAAATAAAAACAGGTTTTTTTTTTTTGTGTGTGTGTGTGTGTGTGTGTGTGTGTATGTGTGTGATCTTTCTTAAATGCAATTGCCATCTTGTCCAAGATTTCAAGTGGAGGCAAAGAGAAACGACTTAACCTAATTTTCTTGGCCCTTGATGGCTGGGGGAGACGGCTTTCATTCTTTTCCTTTCCAAGTTTCGATATTCATTACCTTGGGTCGGGTGGGAGGTGGCGGAATGTGGAAAGATGTATATGGTGTCTCCAAACAAATGCAGTGGTTTTGTTACTGCAAATAACCGAAATGACAGCGCCGTTTTTGGAACAGCCTGTTCAGGAAGTGGAGGGTCAATGTTTCCAACTCCGAGACGACAGCAGTTAGTTCTTCTTGACTTTGGGTTTGTCAAATAGAAACTGTGGCTGACCGAGACTACCAACGCTGGACAGGAGCTATCGTTCTGCAATGCAGAATGGACTCTGGAAACGAGAATCCCACCAGAGTGACAGCTGCCATCTCTTAGATACTTTGGGAACACATCGTGCCTCATGCTTTGCTGGGTACTTGCAAAGAGCGTTTGAAGGAAGGACTGAAGCTATGGCCCTTATCTGTAAGGAATAAAATACCTCAAAGGAAAGTGTTTAAGAAAACACAGGAACATTCACCATTTTTTTTAAATTTTTTTTTTTTTTTGTAGTTGTAGATGGACAGCATACCTTTATTTTATTTGTTTTGACTTTTTGTGGTATTGAGGATCACACCCAGTGCCTCACTCATGCTAGGCAAGTGCTCTGCCACTGAGCTACAGCCCCAGCCCCCGACCGGGGTTTTGTGCTTTTGCCTCTCCTTCTGTAAATAAAAATTTCAGGAGGCCGTTGATTCAGATAGGCTTTCCTACTGGACCCAGCAGAACAAACCAATATGGAGTCATTTGTGCTAAGTGAAGCTAATTCACTTAGGAGTCTACTTGTGCAGCCAATGGCTAAGTTTTGGTTTGGGTCAGTGATAGAAGCTGAGTTTTAGTCAATTGCAGGCAACCAACTGATTCAAATGAAGATTATAGAACTGAAACCAATTAAGCTGTCTTGTTGTTCCACCTCCATTTTTCTGTAAATGCTGCCTGACCACAAAAGGGGCTGTAGCTCCTTGAGCCTGTTCTGATTCTGAGAGCTCCCAGATTCTAGCTTTGCTTGTTTTGGTTTTTAGTGCTCAAATAAACTCAGTTAGATTTAAACTTGTCTATGAGTCTTCCTTTTAGCCCTCTATCTCTCCCCTCCTTTCCTCCTTCCTTTACTTGGTCCGCAGGTGTCAATCTTGGGAGATAGAGGAACCTTTAATAGAGGGAGCCTAATGGGAGATCAATGGGGCACCCTTATTATCATGATATGATCAGCTTCCTCTACTATGTGCTTCTTCCATGATATGCTGTCTTACCACAGGCCCAAAGCAATGGGGTCAACCAATTGTGGTCTGGAATCTCCAAAATTTAAGCCCAAATAAACCTTTCTTCTTTATAAGGTAAAAATCTCAGGTATTTCATTATAGTGATGGAAAGTAACTAATATACTCCATTTCCATCATGACACTTCTCTGCCTGAAGCTTAGGACAGCATCTGAAGATCATCTCCTCTGTCTAGTATGAGTCTGCTTGCTCTGTCAAGTGATTTTTTTTTTGCCCTTGTTTATATGTTGGATACCTCATAGGCAGAGATTTAATCAATAATAGTTCTTAGTATAGTCTGTATAAGGCTCTTCCCTTGCCTTATTTTTTCTGTTTTATCTCTGATTTTCTAGCTATCCTACCTCCCACCTGCCACTAGGACCAATAAAAGACATTTTTATGTCGGTCTTTAAGTAGTTAAATAATCATATATTCAAATAATCATATATTACATATATACAAAATATATTGGATTGTTTTGTACATATACACACTTTAACACACACAATTGCATTGTGGTGTAAATTGCCCTCTTTCTATTTTTTTTTTTTTTTTACTTTCCCATAAGAACAATGCTTTTAGGGCTAATCCAAATTGCTGTGCATCTCTCTCTTTTTTTTTTTTTTCTGGCAGCTACCTAAATTGTAACAGTGCTATGTTGGCCTTTGCCACTCCTTAGCTGTGCACACCATTGGCAGTGGAAAGAAGATGGAGAGAGCTAAGTGCAGTGGTTTGGGAGGCTGAGGCAGAAGGATTGAAAGTTCAAGCCCAGCCTCAGAAACTCTGTGAGGCCTTAGGCAACTTAGTGAGACCCTATCTCAAAATAAAAGTATAAAAAGGGCTGGAGATGTGGCTCCATGGTTAAGCACTCCTGGTACAATCCCCAATACCAAAAAATAAGAAGATGGAGAGGTCAGAATTATATTTCCAAGTAGACATACCTACATAAATGGCAGCTAACACAAGGGCAGTCTTCCTTCCTAAATAAATTAATAACACCCAGTGACAGGTAAACTAATTCACATAAGTCAATCTACTATGTGCTGCTCTCCAAGCTTATTATATGGTTATTGGGGCGATTGTTGGTAAAATCCCAAGAGTTCCTGGAGATCAGGACTGTGCTCACTCATTCACAACTGCATCTCCAGTGCCTGATCTAATGCCTGGGGAATAGAAAGAACTTCACAAAAATTTATTAGGCAAGTATAAGGACTGGTAGATAAATGAGTGATGATTAATGATAAATATAATGATGATTATATAGTAAGCCAAACTTAGGGCTATATTCTGACTATACCATAGAGGAATTTGGTCAACCTCTCGGAGTCTTTCATCTCTTCTGGAAAGTGGGAGAGCTGAGATGTTGGGATGATCATGTGATATGATAAGGGCAGAGTGGCTTGAAAGGCATTCTGCACTTAGTAGGGTCTCAATAGAAGGAGCGATTTCTAATCCAGTGCCATAGATGAAGTGTTACTTGAGGGTTAAGGCAGTGTTCATAAAGCACCAAGGGTTACAGCCATCCAGGGGATTTCAGGAATTCCAAAGTTTTCTTTCTGTATATACAAGTTTAAATATTACAAACGAAATCTAAAAGTAGTGCATGTAAATGCCTTTAACAATTAGCCACAAGGAGAATTCAACTCCAAATAACACCACCTATAAAATTAGGACCAGTCACTTCAAACCAGACTCAGAAATGCAAAAGAGACATTTAAACAAATGACTGCAAGCACCCTGGTCAGCAAAAAGAACCCAGAGGGAGGGGTGTTTTTATCTATACCAGATTCTAAACTGTTCAAAACTCAACTTTCCTATTATTGCTTGTTGGAAGGCTTATATTGCATTACAGATGTTACACAAAAACTTGGAAGAAGCAAGAAAAGGAGATTGAATAAGTGGAAAACAAGACATGAACTTCAGGAGTTTTAACTAGAACTGGGATCAGCAAACTATGGCCCACCACCTGTTTTTGTAAATAAAGTTTTATTGGAACACAGCCACTCCCATTTGTTTGTGGATTGCCTGTGGCTATTTTCAAATGGCAGAGTTAGATAGCCTGATAGACCATCTAGCCTCACAGAGCCCAAAATATTTACTCTCTGGCCCTGTAGAGGAAAAAATCTGTTGACCCCTGGCCTAGCAGGAGGGAGCATAGAATATTCATGTTTACTGTGATCTAAAAGTGAGTCACAGACCTCAACAAATCACATGAAACAGAGAGGAAATAAAGAGCTGGTGGGTGTAGGGGGGCAAAATTTAACCTCCACTTTTGTGGTCTTTACAAGTCTGCGCGAGAGGTGTATGTATGTGTGTTTTTAACTTTTCAATAACCCTGACATGGGCTCACACAACTGGTCTTTCATTAAAGTCTGCAGAGGCACCTAACATTTCCAAAGGCTGACTTTCCACTACCTGGTAAAAACTAACAAACAAAAAGAAACTGGTCTTTAAAGAATTTGAGAGGCCTCTGTGCACCTCTAAATCACTAACTACTGGCCTCTATTCACAGCTACGTGGCAGGACCCGTAATTTAGCTGCAAAACTGCGACATGAAATCCGACCCCTGCACACAGAACCCTCCCTTCAAACTCTCTGGGCCTCTCGGGTTCATTTATGGAAATGGTTAAGGAACAGAGTGCAGAAGCCTGGGGATCCAGGAGGTGCCTCCCATACTAATCCCGCCCTCACTTTGAGCTTGTTTACAGGTTTTCACATCAACGCTTCCCTCTAAAATTCCTTCTCTTACCCAGAAAAAGGAACAGGAACGTTTGTTAAGGTAGCCAAGAAAACAAAAACAAAAACAAAAAAACAGAGTAAAAGAGCAAAGAATTTGAAGACGGAAGACAGGAGTTGGGTTCGTTTCCTCCCTTCTAAGATTGAAAATTTAGGTAACAAAATGTTTCCCAGGTTTATTTTCCTGAGCTTTAAAAAGGGATGATGCTTTATCATACTGACTACATGGAGTCATGGAATCATTTTGAGGATTTTCAGCTCTTTATACCATTTTAAGTAAGTGTTGCATTTTTTCAACTGACCTCCAATGTGAGGATCTTTGTTCACAGAGTCTGATACCCCTCCTGGTGTGATACACTCAACATTCAATGTCTTCTTTTAGTTACTTAGAGCCCTCTTTCTCTAGTAACTTATGATGCACATACTGTTACCCCATAA